GAGTGGAGCTTCATTGTTCAGGCTACCCAATACACCCAATTGGGGTGGTATATTTTATTTGATGTACGTATAATGAATAACGTGATAGTTTTCCTTGGGTCATCAATTTAGTTCGCCAACGTGCTTTGTTTATCGAGTGTCGCACATCACCCAATGCTCCCTGCATAGTATCTCCTAAGTAGGCTTGAGTGATACATGAGGCAGCGTTGATCGACTTTGCAACTTTTGCTATTCACACAATAGCCGAAGAACCGGTCGGGGCATCAAAATTTGCATCGGATTCATTGTCTGTCTCATACGAAAATGGAGCCTCGTGTGCTGCGCCACCACAAGTACCAGGCTTTAGGTTACCGGGTATCCTAAGTGATCATTTACCCTTTCTATTGTTTATTACACGATCCTGTGTAATAAAAACTTTGAAACCTACCAGCTTTGATCTTTCAAATCGGGTTTATTCATCGTTCGTACAATCCCATAGGATAACTTCACTGTTTGGCCTTGACCAAATGGCCTCAGACGAGTCCTAAGGCGTTAGCGTTAGTTGTCATAAGTAGTAGTTCGCTTCGCTGCTTAAGTTTCTCGACTGAGCAGTGTCCTAACGCGTCTTTGCTTTGTGGCTAGGTCTTCTGTTTCCAAGATTTGCATTCAATATTACCATCAATCGCGCTACCCTCATTATATCATGTTTTGATTTTCGTACCTGATTAACCACACGCGGGTATTTACCTCACTTTAGACTTGACACTGGATATTTACAAAAATCCGCGTAGAATAGGAGTAGAAAATCGTCCAGTTATACGAATCGCTATCAGTTTCGATGATCTTTCACGTTTTCCATAAACTGCAACGATAGGAGTTGCTGCTGCTATTAACAAAGTGTTTCCTTGCTCTCTTAAATGCGCTGTATAGTTCATCTGGATCCCGAGTGATCGGGTCGAGGAAGGAGCATTAAAGAAAAAATTACCACCTCGGGTTTCCCCGTATGAAAATGTTTGTTTTACGGCACTGGTAGTCCTAGCTGGATAACAGCGATGTATGCCACCCTTCCTGTTAGGTCGATACATTCTCCAGTATTCCGGATCAATTTGATATATGTACATCTGTTTTTGTTTTCCAACAACCCACTTTCATTTCTATCTTTCATTGTCTTACCCCTTAGCCGAACTGGAAGTGATCATTTGCCGAACAGCCAAAGAAGCGGGCAGTGTGATGCGCGAATTCACCTCATCTATCCGATGCTTGATCGTGATCGTGAGGAGTCCCGAGGTGGAAAAATTGAAAGCCGAGTTCGAGGGACAAGTGCGAATTTACCTGTTCGAGGAGTTTGTAGTAAGTAGTAGTCCTGCTGATTGTTCATTTGTCTCCTCTTGTGTGTGTGTGTGTGTGTGTGTGTGTGTGTGCATAGTGTCGTTGAGTATATTCGCCGTGTGAACTGTTTTCCGTCAGTCTGTCGGTCGCGTCCTTTTCCACGCGCACCTTGTTGTGACACACGGGATTCACCGCAACACCGGGATCGATTTTTTAAAAACGTTTTCAATTACATACCTGTGTGCCATGATCAACAGACGGGGCGAACCTCGTGAACGTGAAGACTCGCTGTTCAGTGATGATATCCGGCATCCTAATTCCCGGGACTTGGAGTAGCAAACCACATAAGGATTCGTTATTTCAAGCGTGATATTGAACCGGACGACAACAAAGTTTCCTACCACCAAAGTTGAGTGGTGGTGGCGGACCACAGGGTCCGCATTAGTGTACGGGCGTGGAAATCGGCCTAGTTCTTACTATGTGGATTAGCTGACTGCATAAGGTGTGCGCTATTGAAGCAAATGACATAGAAGCTGCCTACTACCACAGTTAGGTGGCGTGAAACTCACATCAAGCTATTGTCTCTTGAATGAATTTTTGAGTTGTTTGCTTGCTTCGCCAGGCAGTTCTCATTCGTGCTCTCAAGACTAGTTGTTGGTAGAGCAAAGACAGTGGTGAGGAATTCATACATTCTGGTCCAGTATACTGAACTGGAAGCTACGTTTTACTTTTTCGTTCTGTCCTCAGCAAGTGTGTGGCGGCCTAGTGCAGTGAAAAAGTTTCCCACTCTTGATGATTTCATCCAAACTCTAATTCTCAACTGCTTATCTCACTTGTGATCCAGACAGACAGAATAATCACTGCAGTTTATCCTGCTATCAACAACGCTATTGTTTTATGATGTTTTCTAAGTACTCCGGAGAACTAGCTCCTGGTGTTGATTACTTTTGGTTTCTTCCATGTTCGAGGTTGGTTTGGAGACGATTTCGTGTTGTAATCGGTGGTTTTACGGTCCGCATTGTCAGTATTGTTTTTCAAGCTATTCGAAAATCGTGGGTGTAGACATCCCATCCGGGATTCAGAGACCCTAGAACGAATGCACAGGTGTGCTTGATCCGGGTTTCGCTCGGATATCCTACCAGAGCGAGAGACCTGATGACCACGTAACCCAGATGTTGGACAACGACAACAACAACAACAACAACAACAAAAATAACAGACGCACAAACATAAAAAGCTACTTACCCAGTGCACAAGTCAATGAAATCTGTTGCCCGTGCTAAACGCTTCTTTCGAAAACCACCTTTCAAGACCATGTGTAGGAATAAGAATGTGAAATGTTCATGAACAATCGACCAAATGGGCGATTCAGCGCCATTGCAAATCAATCAGAATAGGTTGTCCGTTTCGCATGCTTACTGATCTTGAACTCATAAATATTGTATTTTTTCCATCCACTATTCTAACTTGGCGCCATCTACCCACTTTTGATAAACCATGCAATTTAGTCCGGTCTATCACCTCGACACCGAATCTGTCAAACAGGTGTCATCTGGTGGTATTACTGTATTGTCCTTGAAGATCCAAAGACACCATTATCATCATCGTACAGCGAGATACAGTGAAGCGAACTTCATTGATCGCTGCCAGGCTTACAATGTACACAAATCAAGTGATAAAGCACAAGGTCGAGAGGGATTGGGCATACTTGGACGGAAGCAAAGAAAGTGAACCTCTATGATCAACACAAAGTACACAATCGAAGTGTGCATGCATACCTTTTCAAGCTTTCTGACCTGATAAGAAATGACAACAAGAACGCCACTGCTGTTGGTTAGTTGCCGTATCCTTCAATATCTCCAGCCAGCCAGTTGCAGAGTCTTTTGGACCCCAAAGATACTGGGTTCAGTGTATTTTGTTCGCATCTACCTTATACAACCATGTGCTCAAAGTGATGGCCATCGACCTCGTAGCTCAGAGATGCAGGTTCAATTCTCAATATGATGACTCAATTTTCGAGTCCCGACTGGGTCACAAAATAGTTCTGATGAGTCCCAGCACATATTATATTATATTTCACACGTGTCTGAGTTCAACCTGCTTGCTAAATCATGGTACAATAAGCATTTTGACAAAATCAAGGTCAATAATTTTTTCGCAGGCCCAGACCAAAGTAGATGAATCTTCGGTTAGCCAAGGCCTGACTCGTAGCAAGCAGCAGGCGATGTTTGAATACCGCAATCCATAAGGGTCCTGTGTCCATTTCATCAAATCATACGCCCTTCGGATAGAGTTTTTAGCCAACTCCCCGATCCCGGGAACAGCTTCAATTGTTGCCTTTCTTTCCTCTCGCTTTGGTGGGAAAATACCACCACGTGAAGGCAGTGAGTAGGGTTTCCCCAGCAGAGGCTGGCTGAGATACTTGATCGTACAGAATGATTTCGCAAGGTGCGAGACATTCACCAACAACCAGAATGAGGATTTCGGTGGCTGAGCCCCGACGAACCCGGAGCTGCTGTTCAGTGCTGTTTGTTGGTCTTCGCAAACGAAATTCCAGGCGTTTCGAGAGGGAGAGAGAGAGAGAGTTGTAGCGAACAGTTGTCCAAAATTATTCTCTTATTTGTTCATACGAATTACAAGAGTTTTTTGCAGTCGCCTATTTTTTTGCCCTCTATTCATCACCGATGTGAAGTTTCTCCATATTTTCTCCGGTTCTCATTTTTCTCATGGTTGCGCGTCATAATATCCCATTTTTATGACCGTATATGTGGCACAGAAGACAAATTTGCTTGTGATTATGATAAAACCTGATATCTCTCCGTTCTCCGTGAGCTCATCGCATTGATCGATATCCACTCACCCTACTACCACGTCGTGCACGCTTTGCTCGCTCATATCCACAATCTCATGGGACAAATGTACCATAATCCATTGATGTACCTTGTCACCATGTGTTTAGGTTCTCTTAGTTACTCCAGAACGGATTCCTTTTCCGGTTTTTACTACTGAACTTTTGCAATTGATACAATTTTCCTGTCAAGGGCTGTGATCAAACTGATTCAAATTACATTTTTGTGTTCTTTTTGCGGTCACTTCTCTACCGTGCCTATTCACTTCTTGTTTTAGCGTGACGGGCTTCAGCATTTACAGCCAAAAGCGGTAAGTATGTCGAATGTTGGCGGATAGTTAGCTCTCGTAAATTTCTTCTCGTTCGAATTTCGAGCTGAGTTGTCGTGGTAGTTGTCATGCTCATTTCCATGGATGGTGCTCACTCTGTTCGATAGAGGTCTTTGTCCTACTCATCGAATAGGTTTCCATTGTTTTCTTTAGCACTTTTCCGGCTCATGGTTTGCTTTATCAGGACACCGGGTCACACAGGTCCCGTTAGGCTCTCGATAGTGACCTCGAGATCGTGGTAACCGGTGGTTAGAGACACTACGATTAGGCTGTGTCACAAACAGTGGCGCTTGTGTATCTACTCAGTATTCTTGCCAGTCCAGTTTATATGAGTTCTCGCTATCTTCACTTTGACTCTGCTCTCAACACTCGAATCTTCATTCTGCTTTTTTATCCAAATGGGCGACCAAGGGCGACCAATGGTTGTAAAAACTGAACTGAAACTTTATCACAGTTAGCAAATCATTTCTGTCGGATGAGTTTCTACTTTACTGGAACTCATCAGATATTCCTAACGAACCGTCTCAGGAAAAGCGGGTAAGTGATAAAGACGGAGCGAATGTCGTCGGAGCAAGTAAGCACATGCGCGGTGTCACTAAGCTCCCCGGCTGTGGGGACCTCGGGATCTATGATTATCGCTGAGTGTTGTAACCAGTGGGGCTCATGCATCTAGTCAATTTTTTCGCGAATTGAATTTAAATAGTGTATTTCCCTTGGTGCTGCTCTCAGTTTCCCACTTTTTCGTCTAACCCTGCGTCTAAATGTTACGCCGAAGGATATTCACGAAGCTGCGGTGCGGAAGTGCGCGGTTGTTTGTTGTATAAACAGAATTTCACCCACCTTAGTGCGTTAAACAGTAAAATAGGTGGGGACCATAATCACAAGGGGCAATTATTCCTTTGTGATGACCGGCAACCGGACTCCTGGGAAGGATGGATCGAATGTCATTTTCTCCAATCTAGGAATGATGTGGTCCTCAAACGAGTACCGGAGACACTGCCCCCTTTACAGGAACCACTCGAGTCAGGTCGTGTAACAACATTCTACTCGTTGAAGTTATCGAGCGCTTACCGGGCAGAATTCATCTGTCACAAACCTGATTATCAACAGGTTTACCCGGAGACTAGCACAGATATACCCCTCTCTCAATGTGTGCGATAAGGACCAATAATGAAACACGTTTCAAATTCATATACTAGCTATAATCTAAGTCTTATGAACCTGTCAGACTGTAGTACGGTTCTCGTCCTGGTCACGACAGGTGGAGAATCTTTTTTTTAGTTCGGATAAATCTGCCATACAGTACTTTTGGTTAACCATAACACATGATGATTCTTCTGTGACCGAGGTTCAAATGTTTCTAACGCTGGGACATGTGTTTCGCGACTCAGATCCATTTTTGTCCCTTCCCCTTTCATTGATATTTTTGAAGCCTCCGAAGCCGAGTTCAATGTGTACACTGTGCTACACGAGTGGAAGCACCGGTATGTGCATTCGTTTTTGATGTTCGTGTCACGTTTTATTCCGTGTTTGTAATCCAATGCGACACAATACAAATGTCATGTGCTGAACTCGTATTAACTGAACAACTCAGTGTCGTAGTAAGCACCGGTGCTTGTCATTAGCCGCTTTCAGATTTACCACAGTCCCCCATCGCACAAGTTGCTGTGATCATACACCTGATGCGTACCGATGTTCTCATCTGATTCAAATTCCTCTTCATTTGGGTTTCTAAGTTTATATATATATATATATATTTATATATATGAGGGGGGGGGAGGGGGCTGATGGATTGAGATCAACTATTCGGATAGTAATGTGATTCCGTTGCGCACTTCACGTGAGCGACAGAATTGCTATCTACTACAATTTCCGCTTATAAAAGCAACCAACTGATCATTTATTTGTTTCCGATTTTTCTTAACGGCACAATGAGGATGAAAGATAATGCACGGGAATGAGGGTTTACAGATTGCAAACTGGGAGAGGGATTCGGTGGCTCTCCACAAGAACAGCCGAGCACAATACTTTTTATACCAATAACACTTGTGCAATAATCTTCCATATATACCCGGTGGTTTCAAGTCAAATCTAGTTTATTCACAATTAAAGAATCCGATAAATGGAAGAAGTGGAAGATACACGACAGCTGGGCTATCTCCTTATCTGGGATCCCAAATTGAATACGCAAGTCTGTGTCATCCTCCAATCGCATTTCTGGTAAACTCTCTACGCTAATACTGATTTACCATTTGTATTTGATATACGGAATTCGTTTTGTACATCACTTATCCACTGTAATATTAGTTGTTACATTTTCACAACATAGCATGTCACGTGTTAGGGTAAAGGAACGTTGGTGCGCTTATCTGATCGGACGACCGAGGTCACGGGGAACTAATTGGATACCAAACTAACTAATTACGATCAATTTTGTGAGTGTTTGCGATTGTTTGACCCCCCTCCCCCTATTGAACTGTTGCATTTCTCTGTCATGCTCAGGGGAACCATTGGTTCGAGTTGGAACAAACTGAGGATGGGTAGAAATAATGAATATGGAAAAAAGTGCAAGCACTTTTTGAGGACCGCGGAACCCACTGATTCCCGTCAAATCTGTGTCGGAGCTTTGGTGATGCTTTTCGACCCGAAAGTGGTATATGCTGGTTTCCAGTGGCACTAATTTGCTTCTGTCACATCTTGTTCGTGTATAGAAGTTACAATACGCAATCTATCGGTTTGTCCATTGAGTCCAATTACCAATATGGACGTGTTGCGTTATCGAATAGAACATAACAAGGACCTTCGTTCCGTGTTGTCCGTGGGTTGCAATTTTCGGTGTAGTTTCCGCACCAACCGTATCTTTTAGTTGTGTTCGGTCTTTCCCGTTCAAAACAGCGCCAACACGTCCAATTTTTCTTTCACTCAGAATTCGTTTCCGATCGGATCTCTCTACGGTGCAGCACAGGAATGGAGTATTTTTTTTTTAACATTTCAGTCGCTCTTATGCTCTATGTTTATCTACTCGCTCTGGTTAAATCCGTACACGAATAGTGATTTCATTGGTTGCCTGATGCGAAAATTCGATTCGTTTTTTTTTTGAGCATCCACAATCGTGCTAGTTTCATTTTTGTTCCGCCCGAAAATTATCCCACCAGATAGTGTCTTGTCCCGTGGTCAGTTGTCGCAACAACCCTATCGAACGCGGATATGATCAACCCGATCCGTTCTTTGCAGCACGTGATTGACCCGGATGTGTTTTCACGACAAGTTTAAGTACCACTTGTCCACATACACACATACACACACACACACACACACACAATAATGAGGGTTTATTCCGCCCGTAGCCCAACGAAATTATTTTCCGTGGGATTCCAAAATTCGAATTCCACGTCACATCGAGTTGCTTCCATCTGTGATTGATTTTCCTGACAGATCTGCCCGCCTGAAATCACATTGCTTCACTGTCGAAGAATCGATGTGCTACATTCGTTTCAAGCTTACACCCGTTTGTCTGATTGTGTGTGTGTGCGTGCGTGTGTCTTGCTTGCTATCGATCCACGCGCACATGAACTGGCGTAATCACCTCGTTTTGTTTCAGGCGTCCCGAAGGGTGTGACGATTTCGCACGAGCAGTTTGTCGATGCGCTCCTCGGCAGTCTAGGCACGGCAGAAGGCAAGGTGAGTGTTATTGCAGTCCGGCTTTCGAAAATAGATTCTCCTCTAGTAGTGAATTAATGACGAGTATTGCTCTCCCTCACACAGTTTTCGTACTCATCGAGGTTTACTTCAATATTCTTTTCGAGGGGGCGGTGTGTGTG